AGAGAGAGAGAGAGAGAGAGAGAGAGAGAGAGAGAGAGAGAGAGAGAGAGAGAGAGAGAGAGAGAGAGAGAGAGAGAGAAGCCCCAAACTAACTACCCCGTCCCCCGAAACGACGATGACGATCAAGTGTCTGCCACACTCTGCTCCTCTGCTGCACAGCGGCGAGTGTAGTATCTGTTCCGATCAGTTTGAAAAATGGCGCACGCACGTGCGCGCACACCAGAGAGAGAGAGAGAGAGACACCCCAAACTAATTAACTATTCCGCCCCCGCAAACGACAATGACGATCAAGTGTAGTATCTGTTCCGATCAGTTTGATATCTGACCCGTGGACCATCGGGAGATCTTTGTTTAAAAAAAAAAAAGACAACGGAAAAACAGCGCGCAGCAGAGCGAGCGAGCAAGCGAGAGAGAGAGAGAGAGAGAGAGAGAGAGAGACCCCAAAGTAACTACCTGGCTCATTCCCCACGACTTCTCTGCCCCTGAAGCCCTCCTCCGTGCTCTTCCCCCGCGTCTTCACTCTTACTGCTCCTCCGCCACACCTCCACAGCTTGGGGAAAAAAGGATGTGCCTCCCTGCCGGTCTTTCTCTATGTGTCTGGCGCCAAGCTTGCCCAGGAAGGTACATGAGGCCAACGGGGATTGAACCCAAGACCTCATGAATTCCACTTGCGTGCCATACCAAGGTACGCCCCTGAATTTCAGTCTAGAGTCGGGTAAGACAGTAGGGGTAGACATATGTTACATGCAGCGCATGCACACACGGGCCATTTTGCAGGCCCGACGGCCATTTTACAGGCCTGCGTTCGTTCAGGCTAAAAGCCTGAACTTCAGGCCGAAAGCCTGAATTTCAGGCCGAAAGCCTGAAATCCAGGGCTTACAGGCCCCCTGTCGGCTCAGCCCGAAAGCCTGAAGTTCAGGGCCTATCCCTGGTCGTTTCAGACTAAAAACGGCAACAGCCTTTTTAGCCTGAAACGAAGGGCCATTTTCGGTCGTTCATCAGAACGACCGGCCCTGAAACTCAGGCACCGAACCAGGATTTCGGGAACAGACTATTAATAGTCTGTTTCCCACGCCAGCCTCAAGCAGGCTGCTGCACGCCAGCCCCTGGCACATTTCGGCATTGGCAAGAGCTGCCTCCTCGGCCTGACTGGCCTCCAGTAGTCAGGAGGCAGTCCGAGGTAGTACATAGGACTTCCCAGGCACTTCCGAGGCAGGCAGTCGGCAGTTGTAGTCTTCAGGATTCGGGAGCAGCACTCTGGAGGGAGTGCTGCGTAGTAGTAGTTGTAGCGTTAGCTAGTAGTCTTCAGCGCTGGGGGCAGTAGGTAGCTAGGTAGTACTAGAGAGAGAGAGAGAGAGCTTGGGCGGAGGCCTGCAGCGCCGTTGCTCCAGCTTCGTCTTCGAGGTACCTGCAGCACAGCGCCAACACCACAGGTTAGTATCTGGTTCGTAACAGAGAGAGAAAGAGAGTTCTTCTTCTTCTTCTTCTCAGTTCACCATCTCTTCTCTCCCTCTCACTTCTGACCTCACTGCATCTGCAGACTATGAGAGAAGAGATACAGAGCTTGGTGACATTTGATCCAGACTCGACTTTCGGGGGTTCAGACATGGCAACGAGGGACTATTTGGGATTGGTGACCAAGACTTGGTGTTAACGACATTCCCATCTTCCTCCCTCCTTTCGTCTGATCCTTATCTCACTCTGTGTATGTCTGGACCTGGCGCTTTCTTCTTGTGTACAGCGCCAGGCTCCTTCACACTTGTGATGGATACAATGCATGTTTAGTCTGAGTTCAAACATTGATTGGGCTAGTTAGTAGTACTCTAGCGTTCTGCTTCGTTACTCTGAACTACGTGAATGAGGTCAGTCCTGTCAGGTCAGTCTTTGTATCAAAGTCTTCCCTGCGCTATTCAGCACCTTTTGTATGTATGAGAATGCACATTGTCTGTCGAGATTCTACTCGCACTGTATTGTCCATTCAGTCCTTTTCATCACACTGCAGTTCCTCGGTGATTACGTACATTGCATATCTGTGCATGTAACACATAGCATGCCAGCTGTTGCAGAACCTTCCCAACTAGCAGGAGGTGCTGCACACACATTGCCATAGCTGTTAGGGCACAACCCCCCACGGGACCATGAGTCTAAAAACATCCCCGACCACCACCCCAAAACCCACTAACCCACCGCCCCGACTCATTTCTCCCATTTCCCCCTCAATCCCTTGCCAGCAAAGCCGCAACAGGTACCCTTGTGGAAATACAGGGCAGCAAAGCTAAAGGCAGTGAGGCAAAGGGCGGCGAGCCAGCAGGGCGTTGGATGACAAGCAGCAGCAAGGCATACCTAAACTGTAGGGCACAGGGGAGGCGGGTGGGGCGACAAACAGGACAAGGCAGCAAGGGAAAAAGCACAGACTTAGAGTACCATGAAAAACGACCCCGCAACAAAACAACAAAGAGCCAAATGATTTCAAATAAAAATAAATAAAATGAAACTGATGACGATAAATTGTCGCGTTGGACTTGCATCGACTCATCAGGAGGCTGAACCCTCGACCATCTCTGGAATCCACGCTGGTGCTTTGAGCCATGAACCCTTTGAAAACGCGTTGAAAGCGATGGGACTGTACCACCAGCAGTAGAGCAACAACGCAGCGAGGCACAAGGCAGTGCTGACAAAGAAGCCAAACTACAAGGCAAACAGGTACGCTCAATGGAAGGACTAGGAAAGTCAAGCAGGTGGCAGCGAAGCACAAAGCAGAACTAAGAAAGCAGCCAAACTACACAAGACAAGCGTATTGCATGGAAAGACGAGCCATACGGATGGGCAGCAAGGCAAAAGCGCAGCAAAGCACAAGGCAAGACCAACGAAGCAGCAAAACTACACGGCAAACAGACCAGCTGCAAGGGAAGACATGGGAAGCAGGATGGGCAGCAAGGCAGCGGAAGACCGCAGACAAGGCAGTCCACATATCCAACATGGATGAAAGTAATCCATCACCTACTCACACCACAAGGGAACCCCACGAACGCTTGTCATCGACTATAGACCATATGCACCATAGACATCATGAGCAGAGCTCCCCTCGAATAGTGTTACAGGCACTGCAAACACACTGCCACCACAGTTGAGCACTTGTTAGAGGTGCTCAATTAGGCACACAGAAGTACTTGAAAAAAAAAGGGAAACGAATGCAAAAGAACAGGGAGAAAGGTATGCAAAAAAAACGGAGGAGAGACGAGAACTGATTGTGTACTTGTGTGTGTGTGTGTGTGCATCTGCACATGAAGATTTTTTAGCAGCAGTATCTTTCATCAGGGACCGTTGAACCTTCTCTTCTAATCAACCTCTTCTAATCAACCTTCTTGGTTGCGTCTTCTCTCCAAGGCCGTGCTGACACTGATATTCCAACAATGCTGCGATCTCAGCCTGGTGTTGACCCGTACTTTTTCTTGCTAGGGTGCTGCTGTCCTCTTTGCCACCATGAGTGGTAATACTGTTAGTGACCACTCAATTTCCTAGATAGGCTTATCTGGTGGTTTTCTGGGGACCTCGGGTGGGGGCCGTGGCAATAATGCAGAGGGCAAATAATGTGATGGTTGATGGCTATCCAATCTTGGTGGACTACACCCGACAGCGCTTGATGCCCAATTGGATGCCTCGGCGTTTCGGTGAGTGCTTCACAAGCATCATGTACCTCCCTCCCTCTCTCCCACATTTCCTCGGATCTTCCCTCCCCCCCCCCCCCCCCCCCCCCCCCCCCCTCTGCTGCCCGCCCCCTCTCTCCCCCATCTCCCTCTCTTCCCCTACCCCTATCCCTGCTTCCTCTTTCTCGTTGTCTCTCTTGGGGTTCTTCCTCTTGCCCTTAAAAGAACGCGAGGAGTCGCTGTGTGTGGGAGACGAGCAGGTGACCGTCCGGTACTCCTCATCGACCCTAACCTTCTCTGCACATGATATCTATGGACTCTGAAAGAGTTTGAAGTCGTTGCTTTGTGATGGGACTCTAATCAGTTTGTGACAAGTCCGCAAGTATAGTGAACCTCCTCTGAGGAATGATGGAATGTATTGCCCGTGCAAAGCGCAGTTTGAAATGGATGCCAATTTGAGTCCCGTCTTTTTTTGCTGTGGATGCAGTATGTTGTAAATGAAAGCTGAATTTACCAGAGTTTGGGGTAAGACCCATTCATTTGCATCTGATTTTTCATTTCATCAGAGGGGGCAGGGTGGAGAGGTTCCCCATTCATCTGCGTTGAATGGTGGACAGTTCACACTGGCCGCTCAAAGCGATTCACTTCTATCTGGCACAACTTCCGCCCCACAAGCAGTCCCAGGTGTGGTGAACTGTCCGGGGAGGTATTCATCCGAAGGGGTCATTGAAGTAATAAGATTGAAAAGCAAGCCTCATTGCAAATTCACTTTGAAGACCAACGAACTCGTGCAAGGGAAGCGGAAATAGGTGGGCAAATGACTGCAGTTTACATCGGCGTTCTCCAGCACACCAGCTGCCTCCATGGCTCTACGCAAAGCTTGCAGTTTCTACATCAGCCCACCGTTGCTTTCATGATCTCAGTGATGCGCACAGCATTACGGATATCTGCCCTAGTCAGTCACTCTGTTGTCAATCCATTCACAGAAATAAGAATTCATCAAATGATCACAAGAGCATGGCATTCTGAAACCGCAATGCACCGAATCAGCACCTCAGCAAGAAAGAGTGAGAGATTCAGGAAGGAGGAGAAGGGGTATTTGTCATGTCTTCGAAGACGAGGAGAATCAACTCAACTCCAGTGAACAAGGTACGCCAGCCGTGTGTGTTCCTCCTGAGACTCTGAACAGACGCTTCAGTGTTGAGGGAACAGGCCATTTGCCAGTACTTTGTCAAGCTGTTTCATGATCAGTTTCCATGCCCAGAAGCTGGGTAACAACGCGAGAGTTGGTTGCTGAACGAGAGGGGGAAAGTCACGAAAGTGTCATCTTCGTTTCATCATTCGACAAGTTTTCAGGTAAAGAAATCGTGAGTGGGAGGTTTGCGAAGGCAAAGGGGTATTATGGAACAAGAAGATAACAACAGGGTGGTGCAGCTGCTGTGGGTGCTGGAACTAATCCCTGTACTGCGTGTCCATGCCGAATTCCAGGATCCGGACGTGTTCCTTGGTTTGGATTTGCAGGGCAGCTCAATCGCCATACAACTGCACCTGCCCATGCCCACTTTTCTCCTCCTCCTGGCTCCAGGGGGGCAGTGTCATGAAGTTCGTGGTTCCTCGTTCTCCTTTTTCCTTTTTTCGTCATGGTCGGTGTCGTCATTTCTGTCTTTCAGATCAACCCCTGTTTTACTTGACAGCTCTACCATCAATGGCCGACAAGCAGGCATCCATGATGGTGACACCCGGTGGAGAGTGGGGGTTGAGTGGGAGGGGAGGGAGGAAGAACTACTGAGAAGACTAAAGGGAAGAGAGATTAGATCTCGCTGTTGTATTCGACATCACCAGTCATCTTCTCAGGACAGCATGGTCTATCCATGATGCGATATGCACAGCCTATCAGAGAGCGCCATGAACTATAGCCACCCTTCATCAGTCGTTCTGGAAGGCTGACTGTCATATTTGTCAGGCTTGGGGCAGGCAGAGGCTCTGAGCACAGGTTCCGTGGTCATGGTGGCTGGCAATTTGATATTCCTTACAGGGGGTGGCCTTGGCGGCAAGAAGGAATCTGGACAACTGAGATTTGGCGGTCGGGACCGGCCATTTCGCGCTCCCCTGTGAGTGAGCTCCCCTATCCCTGCATGTATCGAGCCTTTTCTTCATTCCATCATCTCCCTCTCTGTCCCTGTACCTCTTGAAAGATACCGACATCAAGAGCCCTTTCTTCATTCCATCGTCTCTCCCTATCCATTCACCTCTTGAAAGACACCGATATCAAGAGCCCTTTCTCGGATTTTCTCCATCCCGTCATCTCCCTCCCTATTGCTGCACCTCTTGAAAGATACCCATATCAAGAGCCCTTTCTCCATTCCGTCGTCTGCCTCTGTTCATAGTAAGCACAGAGTTCTCTCTCTATTCCTTTGTCCAGTAAAGGACTCGCTTCGTCTTTCTGATGCTAACATTCGTATGCCTTTTTCTCGCAGCGTGATTTGTCCCTGAGCCACCGTGACTCAGTATTCTGCTGTCCCAGGTCCTTGTCATCGACGTCGCTGTTCCCCATGTTTTCCCAAGAGCACTGTAGCACGAAGAATTGCCGTATAACCTTTGTCATCTCTTTAGGCCTGTTGATTTTATCAGCTTGTTGTGACTGCTTTTCCTGCATGTGCAAAATGATTAGTTGCCATTGTGTCTCATCAAATGTTATGGGCCATATTGTCTATCATAGTGTGGAGAAGAGATGAGTACAAGGAGCATGCAGCTATCTGAATTCAGGGACATAATTGGTGGTGAGTGGGAAGCTTCCAGAATCTCGGTGATCTGGTCTCATTGTCTTAATGAAGTCTTACACGCACATCAGGACATTAATGAACTCACCACAGAGTTATACCTCGGTCAGCTGACATATAAATCGTTGTTTGCAATCACTCCATCATTTTGCAGCCGACCAGTCCCACGTGAGGATCTGAAGAAACTCGGCATCCCCTGTCCTCCGGAAGGACGCTACATGTCTCGACATCAGGTGGGTTCTCTTCTTGGCATGTCTTTGGGCCTGTCCGTACTGGTGCTATGTTCGTTCTCAGAAACGTACTCCACGTGATAACCATGCTCATGTTCATGCTAACACAGCACTGTTGTGGCCTCACCTTCAGTGTCCGACTGTACCTGTACCAATGGCATACTGCTCTTTCGGGGGAGGATAACGATAGTGGGCAAGGCTTGTATAGGCAGTGCAAGATTGGTCTGTGGCTGTGATCATCTCTGGCGTCCTTGCCAGTGATTGTGCATTTCATGGCACGGCTTGATGACAGACTTGATGACAGAATTGATGAAAGCATAATGATGGATATTGTTGTCCAAACGTTTGGATGAATTGGAGATGTTGTGGTCTAAATGATTGGATAGAGTGAACTTTGCCGCGAAGTGTAAACATCATTGACATGAGATTGAGCAACTACTGTGTACCCCACATTTTGTGAAATGATTTCTGCATGCGTGAAACTTGGGATGAAATGGATTTCTGCAGTCTGTCAGCCGGTCGGGCATTCTGCACAGACAGTGCTGGGTAAGAAGAATTGCTGTCTGAGAAGGCAGTGCTGGGCAGGCGCCAGGCCTAGCGCCGGCATGCCGGGCTGGCGGGCGAGGGGATGGGAGGGGGGGGGGGGGGGGGGGGGGGGGGGGGGGGACGAGAGGCCTCGAGGTAATAACTAATTAGTTTTTCATTTTTATTTTTATTTCAAATTTCATAACGAATTTCGGGGTGACTTGTAGCCAAATTGTTTGATGTGCAGTTCTGCATGACACAGTCTTTCCCCCCCTCCCCCACCCACAAAAAGCAGGTCCTTATGTCCCTGGCTTGGCTCCATATCCATTCTGGGGAGTGTCAGTCCGGTTCCTTTTCCAGCGGCAAGTCAAAATTTACGTCATGAACCGACTCACGCTTCCTTCCGTCTGCCCGAAGGACCCCTCAACAGCATTGATTGCTCCAGCAGTGGGGAGTTTATAGAATTGACTGTCAGCTTGCCTTACATCTCTGCCTTTCCTCTCAGATCCAGCTATCTGAACCTGTCATATTTAATGCGAAAAATTGCCGAAAATACGAGAAAGGGATGCTCCAAAAGGGTAACACAGTGTTGGAACTCGTAGGTTCAAAACCCTTCGCCAAGGTATTCATGTATCCGTAGCCTGTAGTGGAGTTTGGTGGACTCTTTTGTCTTCTCAGGCGCTCTGCAATCAGACTCGACTCTGGACTTGCTCACAACATGCATACATGAGAACCGATGGCAAACCAAACTCGTCAATTCAGAATCAACAATGAACTTGCTCTTAAACAATGTGCAGGACAACTGTACAACTTGCGGCTATGGCCGCTGAACACCGTCTCTACCTCGAGCCTCACTTCCCCACACTCTCGCATGCCTGAGGATCACCCTGAATGTCCACGCTACACAGCCACACACACTCTGTACACTGTCTACACCAACAGCTGGGCGGCGATGGCCGCCGTCGTCTTCCTTCTCCGAGCTATGGCCAACGGTGTCTCCCTTGCTGGTTCGCTATGGCTGCTGTCTTCTTCACAGCCCACTTCTTCTCCGGGCGCCTGCAGTCCTCCACACACAAGATACCAAGGCAGCTCTTCCGCATGGCACACAGGTGCCGGTGTGTCCCTCGCTGGTTCGCTATGGCCGCTGTCTTCTTCACAGCCCACTTCTTTTCGGGGCACCTGCAGTCCTCCACGCACAAGATACCAAGGCAGCTCTTCCGCATGGCACACAGGCGAATGAATGAATGGCTGGACACTGCCTCTTTATTTATACTTCTTCGGAGGTACCCGGACCCTGCCTCCAGACCTGTGGGCCTGGACCAAAACGCGTGATTGTCTGGAAGTTTCCAAACCGTGTGACCTGGGCCAAACTGCGTGAGGCCCGGGTCCGGAAACCCCCCAAAACGTGTGGGACTCTGGCACTCAACCCGTGTGTGCAGGCCCCAAAACGCGTATTCTGGAGACTTCTCCATAACGCATGGACCTTCACTTTTCCCCACGTGCAGCCCCTTTCCCAGGTACATGCTGGCTGGGCCGTCCTACGACCTTCTAGACTCTACGGACCTACAGTCAGCTTCCAGACCTACGACAGACTCAGTTAGAGACTTCTAGAACAGACTTTACTAAGCCTACCGGTAACAGACTCAACTTCTAAACTACAGACCTAGGGATAAAGTCCTACTGTCTAGGGATCGAATCCTACTCAGGTCACTGGGTCTATGTACAGGTACAGGATAGGTCTAGGGATCGAATCTCACTCAGTACACAGGTTCAATCTACAGGGTTAGGGCACAGGTCTGGCGATCGAATCTCTGTGTCTGCAATGTAAGGTCAACTGGGTGAAACTGTTTCTGCGCATTTGAAGTGTGCCAGTCTTTACAGCGTATGTGGAAATCCCTTACGTCTGGTACCTCGACACCAACCAGCCAGTCCTCGGTGAACTTTTCCAGTGTTCTCTGCTGCTGTTCCACATCGTCCGTCATGGAGTGCCTTGTCTTCTGCCACTTGTACATAATCTCTGCCTGGATCAATGTCGTAGTCTCCGCCCTAACCTTCTCTCTTGGTGTCGAGTGACCTCCAATGGTTCTGCTGCACCTTTCTTTCCATATAGACCAGAGTGTTACCTTTTTGATCACTCCAAAGTCCGAACCAGACCTTCAGATCATCTTCTCGGATTTGTGGGAGTGAGCAGGGATGCTCGTGCATAGGAGGGGAGTTGTATGGGGTGTTCTGGAAGGGAGGTCGGGAAAAGAGAATCCCAGAGGTCCGACTCCCATAATGCCAGTATTCCGTCGCTTCTCTACAGCGCATTAAGCAGTGTATCATATCTTCTGGTTCGTTTTTCGGATCCTACGATGCACAAGTCTGATCTGTTAGGGTCGTTCTTGCACGTCCTGATGTGCGGCCATTGGTTGGTTGACTGGTAGCGCTACGGGTGAGATAAGCCCCTGGAGGAGGCTTCTGATTTTGATCCGGCGAATGAATTTGAATTTTGAATTCCTTCCACAGTATTTGTGAGATCCGATTTGCTTCCTGGCCGATGAATTTCAACCATCTGTTTTTAATTGTAGAATCGGGATGTTTGGTTCTGATGAGGAGGTTGTATTCCAATTTAACTGTGTATTCATGGATGAGTGAGTACATCAGTTCTAAGATTTTTGCTCCTTCCTGGTGTCCAGGCCCAGTTCTGCTGGGTCGAATTCAAAGTCCTGGATTGCCGTAACCAATTTGAAGATCGCTTTTTGGCCATGACCCCAGCACTCTTACTTTCCTGAGCACGAAGTGGTTTAGGGGGCTGTTCTTTCTGCGTCATTATTCAGAATGGACGAGATGCCTTAAGTCAACGGAGTGATTGCAAAAGAGGTGAGCACAGCCAGGGTGTATGATCCCTGCTGTTTATGGGAGAATTGGCAGGCCCTCGAGGAGGTTGATTCCTGCACCGAAACACCCTCCCTCCCCAGGGCCCCCATGTTGGGGCTTCGCTCAACAACTCTTTCCCACCCTCTGGGATGCAGCTGATGACGTTTTGCAAGTTCTCGTCCGTTCGGTGACACCCCTTGAGCCGACAGACAATTTCCTGTTCTGTCTGGAAACCGGTCTTTTTTCTCCTCCTCCCACACATCGCCCACTTTCCAAACTCCGTGTCTGATCCAGGATAGCCATCTCCTTCCTCTTGGCTTGAGGGATAATAATGGGTGGTCAATTGCATCCCTTTCCCAAGGATTACCAAACAGGGGTTGCCTCAATACCTCCTGTTTGGACTTTTGGGTCTGCCCATGATTTCCCACCATATCCGCAGCAAGGTAGTCCAGTGGGGTGTGGGCGGAGCCCGGTTTCATTTGCACTGGTTCGTCTTCGTTGATTACTCCGGCCTCCATTCCTTGTTCATCACTGACAAAAGATTGATATGTTTGCTGGTGTGTCTACAGAGGCTAAGTTCCTGATACTGTCCAGGGCCGGTTTTGTTCCACGCTACCGTCTTCACCCGAATAGAACGCCCGGTCATTGTAGTTGCATTTGGGTGAAGACGGTAGTCCTGGTCTGGTGAGGTGTTTAACAATCCATTTAACTTGTAGGGCCTTTGTTTCTTGTTTGGGGTCGATGAAACCTAGTCCTCGCCTGGCACGTTTCCTGGTGATGTGTTGCCAGGCTATTTTTGGTATACAGTGCTCTTCATTGGGGTCGCCTGACCACAAGTATGCTTTTGCCTTACGGTTGAGGTCCGTGATTGTATGATCCGGCACTTCCGGATTGAGGCTTTATACCACCTCATTGAAAAGAGTCAAAAGACCGATGTATTGGTTGTCAACGCTCGGCCCAGCAAAGACGTAAACGTATTATTCCCGCATCTACCCAGTTTTTATTTCAGGTGTTTTTTGGTGCTGGGGCTGTCTGGGACCTTGACCCGGACTTTTTCCGAACCTGCCCTGGCCAGGCCACCTGACCCGGGCTAGTCTGACGCAACCCGGGCATCCCGGGTGGTAGCCCAACTTTTTAAATGTTTTGTGCTGCAATTGCCCAGGACATTGCCTGGACCTCGATCGGCTGGGCCCGCCTGGGTTGTAGCAGAAGATTCATTCTGATTTTGCACGGTTGGTGAGCCGTGGAGCTAGGCCCTGTTTCTCCTTTCTTGATGATTGTTTGCGATCAATCACTCGTCTGCATGTTAGCTTTGATGTCAGGCGACAGCCGAGGGCTCGTCACAAGCCGTGGCAGGGGTTAGGCTTGGCCAACAGTGCCTTGCTTTGCTTCACATGGCTGCGGCAAAACATGTGAGGGACGCTGGGCCCTGTTCCTGGCTTGCAATCAAGACAAATGTAAAAAAAAAAAGAAAGAGCACCTTAAGTTGCGCCAACTTTGCCAAGTGAAGTTGCCCGTGTTTTCTTTTCTTTTCTCTTTTTTCTTTCCTCTGTCTTTTTCTTTTTTTTTTGAAACCCTTAATTGTCCTGGTTCCATATCCATTTTGGGGAAGCCTGTTTTGTTTTCTAACTGTAGCTCTCATGGCTTTTGCTCTGCACTATGAATGGTGTGAATCAGACCCCACCATTGCCAGAACGGCCATATTCAAAGAGGAGGGGTGAGATGTCCCCTGAGCCAGAGAGTAATATCGACTCACGAGGGCCAGACGACATGGGGGGCGTTGAAGTTCGGCGACGTATGAAAGACGGTCCAGAACCGGACAGACAATGGAGAAGATCAGAGTCAGCAGGTGGCCACAACTCACCTGGTTATATGCAACAAGAGCGGCGTCATCATGAGAGTTCACGACACAACGGGAAGCATCGCGCGGACATCACCGATAAGGAAAGAGATGGTGGAAGCTTTAGGGATCTCCCTGAGGAGAAGGATCTTAGGGGGAGGTCGGATGGAGCAAGGGAGCGAGAAGATCCGGACCGCAGCAGGAGGCACAGAGAGGGTAGAGATGCTGGGGATCGTGATAGGCAGAGCAGTCACCGGGAGAAGAGGAGGGGGAGGGAGGAGGCAAGAGAGAGTGGGCACAGGGTAGAGGAGGATAAACGGAGAGGAGATCCACACAGCAGGGGTGATCGACGAGAAGGTGAGGGGCGTAAGAGGGTTCGAGTGGACGAGGACGAAAAGCCAAGAGGGAGAGATCGAGATAGGGATGGAGATAGGTCGCACTCATGGGATAAAGGTCGTTAAACGGGGGTGGTCCTATGAAGCAGATCCAGTCAATCAGTAGCAACTCTGCTGAAGCATGACAGAGTTACAATGAAGAGCGAGTTCGGGAGGCTCCCGCGTGCTTGATTGATGACGTACTGACGTAATTTTTGTTGGATTAAGAGTGTGGAGGGAATATGCCGACGTCCTGATTCAACCAAGGAATCGGTTTTTTTGGGCCCCATTCCTTCCATGAAGTGGACAGATTTTGGCGCAGGTGTTGCTTTGTGCACCAGATTTTGCGACTCGCTGAGGTTCATGCTGCCCTCTCTGCAATGCATGCTCGTCTCGTCAAGACGGTGGAAATCCAATGTTCATCTCTGAGCGAAAACCGCATTCGACATCGTCGCTGTGGAATCAGAGTGAAGGCAGTGCTGTAGTAGAGGACTCGGTGCAGACACTGCGTATAGAAAAAGCATGAGCAAGAGATTTGGTACGGAAACCCACTGTGGGCTTAGCGAAAACCTCACTCAACGTCGTCGCTGTGAAGGAGAGTGAACGAAGTGGTGGTCTCCGAGTCCTGTAGACTCGACTGAGGGCAGACACTGCACATAGAAAAAAAAATAGCAGGAGCAAGAGATTGTGTATGGAACCCGCTGTGGGCTTTCAGGTCCCAGAAGAGCTGGATATTTTGGCTGGGCAGACCTGGACGATGAAATATGCGAAAAGGGAAGATGAAGAGACATTTGGTGATATTTTGAGGTTTATGAATGGCCTTGCTGCTGTGATCCAGGCGCTCATGCATCAGGGTCACAGCTCCAGTCCCGCACTGTAACTAAATGGGCATACTGTCATGCTATTGGCGGCTTCAACTGCTGGAGAAATAGACAGGCAGGCTCTTTTGTGGAGAATTGGCAAGGCAGAGCGAGCATTCACATACGTCATGTCTGCGGCATTCTGCGAACTTCGAACAGTGAGCAAAATAGGCATGCTGTTTCTGCAGCAGTAGCTTCAATAGGATCGGTAAGTGAGCGGCATACTCAGCGACCGTGTTTCGTTAGTCCTACATCAGTTGTCATTTTGCAGCCGCAGAGTGAGCGGTTTTCTCAACTCGTGCTGGCTCTGGTGTGGCATCGCTGAGTGGGTGAGCAGGTGAATGAATGTGTGTACCATCTCCGAGTGGGTGAGTGGGTGAGTAACCGCTTTTCTCATTTTATGGCTACTACTCTTTCGTTCCATCATCAAGGAGCCTGCTGTCAGGTTGGCCTGTGGCCTGCAATGACTGTCTCGGCGCGAACATAGCCATCTGCAATGTGCAGTTTTCGTGTGTTTGGACCTGGGCATCTGTCAAATTGAACCATAGCCATCGGGGGCAAGGTGCAGTGTGCATGTGTTTGGACCTGGGCATGTGTCAAATTGAACCATAGCCATTGGCGGCAAGGTGCAGTGTGCATGTGTTTGGACCTGGGCATGTGTCATATTGATCTGGTAGGACTGTTTCAGAGGCGCGGTTGCCAAAGATTCGCCCGGTCGAATATGCAAACAGGCCGGAGCAAAATTGATGCGCAGAATATGCATCAGGACATGGTGTTAGAGCGGAAGAGTCGCCTGGGTGAAGCTGCAAATAGGCCGGGGTGAGGGAGAACAGGATGTTTTATCGAATGGGATGGAGAGTGTGTACAGGACTCAGACTGAGGCAGCTGTTGCGGAGAGGGAGGACATGGGATGGGGAGTTGTATCACCAGGAGTTTTTCAAAGTATTAAATGCAGTTAATGAACAGCTCCTTACTGTAACATATGCTCTTTGGTTTCCATCACAATGCTGCTGCTGCTCTCTCTCTCTCTCTCTCTCTCTCTCTCTCTCTCTCTCTCTCTCTCTCTCTCTCTCTCTCTCTNCTCTCTCTCTCTCTCTCTCTCTCTCTCTCTCTCTCTCTCTCTCTCTCTCTCTCTCTCTCTCTCTCTCTCTCTCTCTCTCTCTCTCTCTGTGTGCGTCTTGCCGTAGGGGTTCCTATCTATCTAGTCTTGGGAGAGCATCGATCATGGATGTCTAATGTCCAGATTGGCGTGCCAATGCCAGTGTGGTGGAAAGAACCAAAAAAAAAAAAAAAAAAAAGAATGCAAACTTTGTGAAGTTAAAAACTTCAATAATCTGTTGACTTCAAACTCACAACTCCCTCCAGTCACTGCTGGGGAGGGAATGTGCTCCTCTCTGTCAAGTTCTTTTTTTTCCTGGGGGATGTGTCTACGAAGTGGAGAAGGGGACGCTGTGGCAACGACATCGGGTAATGTGGAGCAAGAGCTTACTGGCAACGACTTAATGAAACTGTCGGTTAAGTGGACTTCCATTCATCGTAGGTATCGATTCGCAGCACCTCCTTAACGTCTGTGTTTGTTTGCCTCGGTATATCAATGGCCTACTTTCTTTGTCTCGCTTCCGCTACAGTGACTTCCTTTATTCCCCTCTTTTTCTTTCCCCTCTTTTTCTCTCCCCTCTTTTCTCGCCCTTCTTTTCTCTCCCATCTTTCTCTCCTCTCTTTTCTCTCTATGTCTGTGGTTTTCCTAACTTTTTAGACTCAGTTCCGTAACAGTGACTTCCATTATTCCATGCGTCCAGTCTATTTTTTGGGCTGTAATAATTGTATCCCTTAAGTTTGGCCATTTCTGTACGTGACCCTTGGACTCTCTGTTTATGGCGACTGAATGGGCTGTCTTTTTCATGCCCAACCGATCTAGACTACTGTATAATGGATGCACCCTGCATTCCCCTTAGCAGCTATAGACCGGCTAAAGTGGTTAACCCGTTTGCTATTCAGAGTGGAGCTTCGGGTTTACTTCTCTCTGCTTTGGGTGTTTCTTTGTCATCGTCTTGTGAACTCGGGTGTTCTTTCGATGCGTGTCCTGCTCATGTCAATTTGTATCAGCTGGCTTTTTCTTCTTCTTCTTTCTGCTTCTTCTTTCCTCTTCTTCTTCTTCTTCTTCTGCTTCTGCTTCTGCTTCTGCTTCTGCTTCTTTTGTTTTGTTTGGCTTCTTCATCCCCGACTGATGTGAAACTTGGACTGAGGCACCACCTCCATTCCCCTTGGCACCTCAACCACCAGAAGAGGGTAACCTATTCACTATTCAGAGTGGATCTAAACTTGGGTGTTCATTCGATGTCGAACCTGAAGCGGCTCTTAGAGTGGAGAGTGTGGATAACCTATTCACTATTCAGAGTGGATCTGAACTCGGGTGGTCTTTCGATGTTTGACCTGAATTGGCTAACCTATTCCCTATTCAGAGTTGAGCTTCTTCTTTCTTTTTTTCTTTTTTTCTTTTTTTTTTCCGGAAGTCCCAGCCAGGGTCTAGTTGAGCTTAGCGCACGTGTTCTTTCGATGTTTGACCTGCTTATATTTTGTGACATCTGAGCCTTGCTTGCCTTCATTGTACATTGTACTCTTTACCCTCTGAACACAGAACGGAAGTCTGGTATTTCAGGTTAAGTTGCATGTGCATTGGGTAGTGGCCTTGCGCTCTTTTCATTACCCCCTTCATGTCTCCCTCTGACGAGTGCGATCTCCCTCCGACTCCGACGAGCGCGATGGTTACCAAGGGTGAGGTGCTTCCAGTCAGTCACATAACAGGGTTGGTCTTTACTTTCCACCCATTGTCACTGTCGTGGAAGCTGCAGTCCATGGATGATCTGGCCTGTCACAAGTGGTGTGTGCTTGTTTTGTTCCAGAGGATGAGCAGTGGCTGTTCTCAATTGATGTGAATGAAGATGTTTGTGTCGCTCTACCACAAGGTCCGCCACCACCAGTCTCATGTTGGGACAGAAAGTTGATATGCTGTGACCTGAGCCCAGTGTCGATGGTTTGGGCAATGCCCGACTGTAATCAGCTTGGTGGGGCAAGCCCTGACTGTAATCAGCTTGGTGGTGTTCTTCACGGCTGGAAACACCCTGCAAATTACTTAGAGCATGTGACAAAGGGGCCATGACAGGGTTGGAGCACAAAGCTCTGTTGGGGCAAGTACTGCTACGACGGGACCACGATCACCACACTAGTGATTTTTCGCACTAGTGATGTTTCAGAAGACAGAAAACCTGGTTCGGTTTTGTACTTCAGACCCTGCATGAGTATTATCATTATTTCCGTTACTGTGGAATATTATATCATGTGCCTCTGACGCCAGAGCCAATCCACATCTGTTATGTATGACGAGAAGTCTAAGGCCTCCCCCATTTCTCTTCCTCCCATCATGATGTAGAGAGCCTTTGAGCGCCCGTCCTGCAAGGCCTCCCCCATTTCAAATGGTCGTCCAAGGCCTCAGCACAAGGTGCTTGCTCCCCCATTTCAAATGACAAACAGGACCTGGAAATGCAATTTCAATAAGGATGCATTGCACACTGCTCCCCCCCCCACGCCCGCTACACACACACGCACGCACACACACATACACACACACACACACACGCGCACAGAGACACAGAGGCTTGTGAGCTTCATTAGTGTGTACACACACACAAGAGAGAGAGAGAGAGAGAGAGAGAGAGAGAGAGAGGGGCTCCCTTCCTTTCTTCCCCTCTAGGTCTTCCATGACTCTCTTCACTCATTCAATTGATGATCCACATTGGCTCCGGTAGTCACGAACAGTAATGTAACTCAGCATCAACGGCTTCCAATTCCAGCTTTGGTGGGGAAGTTCTGTGCTGACACTGGGTGGTAATCAGATAAGCCGTTGTGACACAGTTTTCTTCTATTTTCTGTTCTCTTGCGATAGTTCCATATGGACCCGAGAGGGCAATCGGGTACCCGTTGATGGGCAGGTCGGGGCAGGGGAAAAAAAAAAGAAAACTCTGGTATGGCCGGCCAAAAAGGTAAATAGAACAGGTATGGGCAGGTATGGGTGGCAACAAAAACACCTGCTATGGGTATGGGCAGGGTGGAGGTCCGTATCGGGTAGCCGTGGAATACCTCGCACTGACACATTCCAACCCCCTAACCCAGTCACCCCCCTTTTTCGCCACCACAAGTTCTAGGCCCAATTGTTTTTCTCCTGCTGCCTCGTCGAAAGTCCCAAACAGCCATTTTTATTTTTCCCCTGCCGCCGGGCAGGGCCGCTGCGTTATTGAAAGTCCAAAAGTTTCCCGACTTCGAGTTGGGCCTTTCCAGTGGCTTGATCATTTTGACTTTGCAGTCTGGATTGGCAGTTCCAGTTCCTACGAAGTCTACGCTGTGCACTATCTGAAGCTGAAGCCGAAGCCGGGTAATGGCCCCGGTATTTTCAAAATTGTAACAAGACGCTCCGTGCCCAGTTTCCAGCAGGTGCGGCTCCTCACCACTGGCAGTAGACCAGAGGCATCTGTGGCTAGGTACTACGGGGGGATGCTAGTATCGCCCACGGGAGTGCCAGCAGCAGATTGAAAAGCAAAAAAAGGGATAATAAGATAATAATTTGCAAAATACTGTACTTTAAACCAGCAGTACTTGGCCCAGCTATCGATGCCGAGCCTGGAATGCCCATCCACACCAATTTTTGTCGGAGCGCCGGGGTACCGTTTCAAATTCTTTTTGGCTGGCGCTTCCAGCCATTGTGGTCCGGTACCTGAAGCCTTAAACGTGCGGCACGGGGAAGCGCCGCGGCCGATAGCTGGGCCAAGTACTGCCGGTTTAAATACCCCTGTAAGTTGAGATATATGCCGAATTTAGCAGCAGGTAAGAATAGAGCGGAATGCCCCTCTGGTGAAAGAAATATTTTGTGAAATACCCTTTGTGGCGGTTGGACCCTCCAATCTTTGCGATATGCCCCCGAAGCCCAAATGGCGAGGTCCAGATTGCAAATTTGCGCACCTCCCTGAAAGGGTCATGACACAGATTTCGGCCCAAAAGGGCATTCCGCTCTCTATGCACATCTTTCAGGGGCGTTTTGGCATGGCATCTGAACTTATGGGGGTATTCTGCAAATCATCCCCGCATCCGGCCCCCGTGATGTGATGCTGCGCTGTAAACGCTGGGTAAAGCAAAGGTTGAAAACGTGAAGTGCACAGAAAAAAAAAAAAAAAAAGAAAAAAAAAAGAAAGAGGTTGGATCCCAAGGCAGAGCCGAAACTCGAATGCATGCAGGGTTGGCCGGGCTCCCCACGTATTTGGTCAGCAGCGGGGCGAGGCCCTTTCGTCACCTTTCGGGTGCTGTGCAGTGGGGTCCGACCTCTTCAGCTTGTTCGCATGGGTGTTGTTATCTGACCTCTTCAGCTTGTTCCGACAGTCGTGCTATGGGCCTCGCTCCACTGCTCTCACATGCACAGGACCCAAAAATGGTGGCGTATTTTTCCATGTTCTAGCGGAAGATTCATGTTGCACATTTGGATAATAGGATCCGTGCATTCTCATTCGCACATTGGAAAAGTATTGGAGCGAAACCCTTAGATTCGTTCTTATTGTGCACATTTGGAGAGTGGTGGACTGAGACCCTTTTTCCATCTTCTAGAGACAGGTTCATTCTCATTTCGCATATTTGGAGAGCAGCGGAGGGAGACCCTAGCTGAAAGTGAACCTGTGGCGAAACCGTTTTCATTGTTCTAGCGGGAGATTGATTCTTATTTTGCACATTTGGAGAGTGGTGGACTTGCACCCTTTTTCCGTCTTTTAGAGAGATTCATTCTCATTTTGCGTATTTGGAGAGCAGCGAAGGGAGACCCTAGCGGAAAGTGAACATGTGCAGGACGACAAGAACAGTTACAAGCTTCTGGCCCGTGACCTGAAAAACGGTGGGGGCGTACTCGAGCTCGTTGCGGTCACTACTCACCGCATGCACA